GGAATTAATTTTCTTTAATTCCTACAACAAAAAAATATTTCTATTTAAATGCATTGCATATAGACATTAGGCATTTGTGTATTAATAGGGCCTATTAGAGCATATTTTCTTAAATTTTAAACAAAAATTAAAAAAAAAAAATCGAGTCGGGCCGGGTCGGAGCTGGGCCGACCCGGCCCATTTCTTTTTTCCTTTTTCCCCCGGGCCCGGCCCCTTTTCCTTTTTCTTTTTTTCCCTTCGCGCGGGCCCGGCCCGCTTTCCTTTTCTTTTCTTTTTTTCTCTCCCCCCCGCGGCTGGGCCCAGCCCGGCCCAGCTTCCTTTCCTTCTCTTCTCCCTGCGCCGGTCGCTCTCCTCGCCCCTGTTCTCCCCTGTTCGCGACGGAAGCGTGACGCACGGCGGCGCCGCTTCTCGGCGTCACTGTCTGGCCAGAGGAGGGCCGGGTGAGCACGCCGACGGGACTGGCATTAATTGCCAATCCCGTCCTCCCCGTTGTCCCGGCCTTCCTTATCTCTTCCTCCCTCTCAGCTCGCTATTCCTCTCTACCCCGTCTCAGACCTGCTCCGCCCCTGCTCTGCACCGGCCTGCAAATGGCCACGAAAGTCGTGGCATGGCGTAGGCCGGTGCAGGCCGTCGTCACGCCGACGCAGAGAGGCAGAGAGACGCGTCGTCGCCGCCTATAAAAGCCGGAGAGAGAGAGAGAGTCCCGGTCGGCCAGAGAGAGAGAGAAACAGAGCAGCTGGAAAGAGAGCGTGAGCCGAGAGAAAGAGGGAGACGGAGCGAGACAGAGAGCCGGAGAGCTCATCCGGCGGCCACCGCGCCTCAGCCATCCATCCCCGTCACCGAACCGACGGCGGCGACACAGAGAGCGTGAGCCGAGAGACAAGAGAGAGAACAGAGAGAGAGAGAGAGAGCAAACCGAGGCCACGCCGGAGCAGGAAGGACAACCAGCAGCATCGCCGTCGCCCACGGAATAGCCAGAAAGCCGCCCAGCCGCGCCGTCGACCGGTGAGCATCCCCGGGTCCCGATCACCTCTGTCCTCCCCTGTTTTTTGCACGCGGTCCGGCCGGGACTCGCGCCGGCCGAGTCGCGCGATTCATGGCCCATGCCGTCGCCGGTCCCGGTCCCCACTCGCAGTCGAACGTCAGCCGCAGCCGTCAGAGCTAACCGTGCCGCCGAAGGAGGTCGAAATCGGCTGATTTCCACCGCGCACGCCCAGTGTTCGACAAAATGCCTCAACCAGGCTGGTTTTTGTTTCATCGCCGGCCGGCGAACGGTGGTCCGACGGCGGCTCAGGTGAGTGGCACAGCCCACAGGCGGTCCTAGTCGGGCGATTTGGGGGCGGCGCTGGCCTGGGTCAGCCGGCGGACGGCCAATTTTGGCCTCTCCGGCGCCCCTCTCCCCGCGGATCTATTTGTTCGGGTCGGATTCGACCCGAATCAACAGATCCGACCCGGGTCAACTCCCGGGTCGGATCCGTTGACCCGGGTCGGTTCCGACCCTATCCGGATTGACCGATCTGACCCGGGTCAACGCCCGGGTCGGATCCGTTGACCCGGGTCGGATCCGACCCGACCCGGTTAATATTATATTATTATTTTATTTTTTTAAAAAAAATTAATTTTTTTTTCTGTATTATTATTATTTTTTTCTTTTCGAAAAAAAAAATTTAATTTTTTTTTTAAAATTATGTTATATCTAAGTTTTTAATTTATTGCTGTATTATTATGCATATTATTATCTTATTTAAATTAGACAAGCCTGAGATTGCGCGTTAATATTTTGCATGTTATTTTTATTATCGCTGTATTATTATGCATGTTTTTAATACAATCGCATGAGTTGTGTTTTGAATGTCATCTGACTTAGTTAAGGTTAGAACCTTAGGCTGCATGAATTGTTGTGTTCCTGACTGCTGATCGTTTCTGATTATGCACTCGCTTAATCACCTCACATGTTAGGAGAAAGGTCCTAAAATCAATCCAAATTGCCTGACAAATATTTTCAGAAATGAACAGGGTAAAATGGTACCGAAAGGGCATTAGTTATCCAACTAGTGTAACCAAGTCCCCGAACTCATTTAATCTCTGGTTCGTAGGAATAGAGTGATTCTCCCATCACCCTATTTGGGTTTCTAATCGACCCACCCCAAATCGATTAGTGGCGACTCCTTGATATAAACCACTTACATGTTAAAAACTTAAACCCTAAGTCGCGATATGGTATGGGCTTGGGAGAGCCCGAGTTAAGTCCCGAACCTAGACTTAGCACGTACCAGGCGAGCCCCCCCCTTTTTTTTGCATGTTCGATAAGAGGGCTCGGGAGTTCGGTCGCGACAAGTAAACATGAAGAAATTTTGCTCAAACAGAAATCCAGAAATCTTTGGCTAAAGGAGGGCGACAATAATAGAAAGGTTTTCTTTGCTTCCATGATGCGAAGAAGTGCTCAGAACAGGATAAATCATCTCATACTTGAGGATGGATCCGTTATCTCTGAAGAGGGGGCTCTTAAGAACACAATCTTATCATACTATCAAGCCCTTCTTGGTAGTTCCAGGGGACCTTGTATCCCTTATGAGAGGTATGTCCTTTTTTTTCATGAAGATATCAATGCTTTAGTTACTTTCACACCACCTCAGAGAAAGGATATTCTTCGAGTCCTAAAGGGTTTCAATGATTTCAAAGCACCGGGCCCTTATGGTTTTAACAGTCGTTTCTTCAAAAGTGCTTGGCCTATCATTGGACACAACATCGAGGAAGCTATACTGGATTTTTTCTCGTCCAAAAGACTATTGAAATCTATAAATTCCACTCTGATCTCTCTTGTCCCGAAGGTTCCAAATCCCTCATCCCTCAAGGAGTTCAGACCCATATCATGCTGTAATACCTTGTACAAGATCATATCCAAACTCCTTGCAGAACAAAAAAGCGGAATGCTCCCCTTGATTGTTGATCTAAACCAAACCGCTTTCATCACCAGACGACAAATCTCAGAAAATATCCTATTATGCCAAGATTTACTTCATAACTATCATAAGGGAGATAAAGGTAAACGTGTCGCCATAAAAATAGATCTCATGAAGGCTTCTGATATGGTCAGATGGGATGCAGTCATTGGGGTCCTAAAAGCTCTAAATACATCCCAGCATCTGGTTGAATTGATAAGTGAGTGCATTACTACCCCGAGGTTTATAGTGACTTTTAATGGCGAACAGGTAGGGTATTTCAGTAGCACTAATGGGCTGAGACAAGGTGATCCTTTTTCTCCATATTTGTTTGCTCTAGTTATGGAAATTTTCAATAGAATTGTAAGAGCAAAAGTTGCTGGTTCTTCCTTCAAATACCATTGGCGCTGCAAAACGCAAAGGATTACACACCTTTGCTTCGCTGATGACCTGTTCTTATTTGCCCATGGAGATGTAGACTCTGTTCTATGCCTGGTAGAAGCTCTTGAAGAATTCGCCACTCTCACTGGACTGCGATTTAACCCTATCAAATGCCAAATATTTTTCTCTGGGTTAAATGAGGAGGAAAAGCTTCTTATATTGGACCATACGCCTTTTCCCGCAGGTACTCTCCCTATCAAGTACTTGGGTGTTCCTCTTATTACTAAAAGACTCACCCACTCAGATTGCAAAAGCCTTACTAATAAGATATTCAAGAAAATTGAGAGTTGGGGAATGACGCATATGAGTTATGCGGGTCAGTTACAACTAACCAAATCGGTCCTTATATCTATCTGCACGTACTGGATGCAAATTTTTCTTTTTCCGAAGCAAACTATCTATGAGATTGAGACGAAAATTTGCCACTTCCTATGGGCTGGGTCTTCAACAAACCGTGGATCGCACAAAGTTGCATGGCGTGTAGTATGCTCACCCAAAAAGGAAGGAGGGTTAGGATTGCCTGATTTGAACCTATGGAACAAAGTGTTATTAGGGCGCACAATGTGGAATCTTATCAATCATCCATCTTCTTCACTTTGGAGCTCCTGGGTCCATAGTACAAAATGCAGAGGAACCCCATTTTTGCAGATGGACATGAATGGTAGTATGGCCTGGAGTTGGCGATGTCTCCTCAAACTACGTCATGTCCTAACCCCAGTCATGTCTAATCCAAGATATTGCTGTCATGATGTCTTGGATGAACTTAGACACGAGAGTCCGGCTGTGGAGTGGTATAACTTAATATGGAGTAGCGGCGTTAGCAAACACAATTTTATTGGTTGGTTAGTATGTAGGGATGGGCTTCCGACAGCAGAGATCATATCACGGTGGATGACCTCAGTTGATGTCCAATGTACCTTCTGTAGGGCAAGTATAGAGAACAGGACTCACCTTTTCTTCCAATGGGAATGGACAGGTAGCATCTGGCGCAATATTCTTGCACAACATGGGATCAGGCGTAATGTGTGGGGATGGAATGAGGAGCTTCAATGGATGGTTAGAGCAACAAGAGGCAAAGATTTGACAGTGAAACTCCTCAAAGTATCTTTCCTAGCGACTGTATATTGCACTTGGATGGAGCGCAACCATAGGCGGTTTCAAAACAATCCAACTGATATTCAGATTATTTTGGCGAAGGTGCGGAAAAATGTAAGAGGTAGAACTTCGCTATACCAAAAAATCAAACCTTCGCAAGCTAACGTTGTTTTAACTACTTTATGGAGACTTCCTACCTCCATATTCTCGAATTATTAGTACTAGTTATAATGCCGGGGAATGCCCCTAAGCTGCTGTACATCATCTTTTATATACTACTTACATTTTACACCAAAAAAAAAATTCAAGCGTTGCTTTTCCGACAACTCCTTGCCGATCTCGCTGGCTAGTACAATCACCAGTCCAACCACGAAGTATTGCTTCGCCGTCTCCATCTCTCTTTTCTTCTTCCTCAATTTTGGCAACTTTAATACCCAAAGTTCTGAATCAGCACTTACATATTTGTTGCATTCGTGCCCAAACACCACCCTCTTCACTCCCAACTCCACCGACCAATCCAACCTCAACATCCTCCTCTCTTCCCTCTCCTCCGCCGCCACCAACAGCACTTATGGCTTCGCCAACGCCACTATCGGCCAAATCTTTCCCGACCTGGCTGACGGACTCTTCCTCTGCCATGGCAACCTTGACACCGCCACGTGCAGTAACTGTGTGGCCACTGGAAAACAGGATATCTTCCATAGATGGCCCAAGCAGCGAGTCACTGTGATTTGGAATGCCGAGTGCATGTTGAGGTACTCGAACCAGGCCATCTTCTCGGTCATGGAAAAATCGCCTAATGTCACAACGTACAACACCAGGAACATCAGCGCCCCAACCCGGCAAGTACTTGGAGATACCATCAAAGATGTCACCTGGAGAACTTCAGGTGCGAGTTGGGGAAGAAAGTTGCCGTTGCAGAGGTGAACGTCACGAACTTGGAGAGCTGTACACAATCGCACAGTGCACGCCGGACTTGATGGCGTGGGACTGTACCACGTGCCTCCTGTCGGTGATTCCAGGTTTCCTGAGGGGAAGCAAGGAGGGAGGATTTATACTCCTAGCTGCAATGATAAGTTTGAGTTGTAACCCTTTTACAATAACTCCGCCTTGCCAGCCCTTCCTTCCTCCGGTTACAACACCTGAAGGTATGTGGAAGTTTTCTTTTGCCTCTCTTCCACTACTTTTAGGCGACGTTCGGTATAAAAAATCGGTTCGCAAAGTTTTGATTAGACTTGGAATTCTCATTTCAAAAGGATCAAAAGAGCTTCTACTCACTAAATTTCCCTTGTACCATTTTCACAAAAAACAGCACCTTGCTCGTTGAAATGTCGACCAAGGTCCCTTAACTGTTTCCTGCTTTCAAGTCGAACGTCTTGCCAGCAATACGATCCGAAGGCAAATTTGCCTCTGCTTAGGCTAACGACACCATAGACTCGGATTTATTTTAATATTCGAAAGATTTTTTTAGCAAGGGAAAAAAATCAAATGAAAATAACTGGGAGCTTGGAAGTCTTGCTGATTTTAGAAAGGGTGGGCTATATCTACCCTCTATATGACTAAATTCACACATTCTTTCACCAAATAGACAACATCACCCTTAATGGTTTCCACATATGCAAAAGTTTTCTTCAATTTAGTTATTTGCTAATTGAGTATTTCCCTCAAATTTAAACTTATTTCTATTTAAATAATAAAAAAAAATCCCATCTTCGTTCACTGGTCTTATAGAGACCTATCCATTCTTTGACACTGGGAGTGAACCTTGTAAAAAGCTCTAGTATCCTTATTATTATTTTTTTTATAATAGAGGATCCGCGCGTACGGCCGACAGCCAACAACGACTATACCTCGAGGGGAACTAGCACAGCAACCCACCGCCATGGCCCTCCACTTAAATCGCGATAGCAATGCTGGGGAATCAATCCCAAGTCTCACGGGTAAAGACTGGGAACGCCCTAACCAGCGCAGCTGCCCACGGGTGGGTTAGTATCCTTATTATTACTTGTTGATTTATCTAATAATTTCTATTACGCCTAACAATACAACTTGGAGGGGGTGAATAAGTTGTTTGAACACTTAAAGAAACTTTTATGGAATATAATAAGATACTTTGACAGAAGCAAAAATAGATTAAATGTATTAAGGGAGATGGTGATGCTATCAGACAGATATAAGCAATAATGAATAGATAGAATATAGCACTCAACAATTTATAATGATTCGGTTTTATCCCTAAGCTTACGTTCAATCTCTAAGCGAACAACTTTAACGACAACTGGAATCCACTAGTAATTCTCAAATGATATTACAATTGGTATGTACTGCTTCTATAACACAAAAAGTTACACAATTAGAACGCAAGTGCTGCTATCACACTTGCACAAATCTCTTATAACTAATTACAAGCAGCAAGGACTCTACAGTAGAGAGAATAACGAATAGACAGAAGCACAGCTTATACACGACAAAAAACAAATGACAATAATAGTGTCAGCTTTATCAATTTTTTGCAACCCCGCACAACTGCTACAACCCTCTTTATAAAGACGTTCATCCTCCAATCCAACCATTGGAGATACTTTTGAAGAGTTAAAAGTTGTTGAGAGTTTATTTGAGCCAATGCCGAGGTTCAGGCTGCCTGGACATTCTCTTCCCACTGGCAAAAGCATGGTTTCCCAAAATGGAATCTACTGGTCTGTTACATCAATTGTTCATTCTGACATATGACCAAAACTATCAACTCTGCTCTGACTCATTGTCATCCTCTTGCTACGGATTCCCCGCACGTCAATGGCTATAATCTTCCGATCAACAATCATACTTAAGATGAATGGGTTATCAAAACCATCTAGGAGTTGATATTTGCATGATACTTTGCTCCTCATCACTTGATAGTAGCACATGCTCTTGTCAACAGTCCGTTGGTGCTGTTCACCATATTCCTTGTGAAATGACTTGCGATCTTTTATCCGATGGTCTCCCTAAGCATATCAGCATCCAAAGGTTTTACTTAGATGATAACCTGATCTTGGTACCTGTAAGTCCTTATAAATTACTTGCAATATCCTACTTTTTCTGCTCTTATCAAGGTCATCATCCTGTAAACGTCCTTGGTTGAACTATACGAAGGCCAACGATATTATCACAATCTTCCTGAAATTATCACCACTTAATCACAATAAACACATGCATTTATTTGGTAGATATTAAGCCAAGGACAGTTTTGGAATCATCAAAATACCATAGGGAGTTTTCCCAACAATTTTGTTACCTCGCATTTGAGGGAGGACACTAGAAGTGCCAAAAGTTGTGTACGGCGCTCACTTTAGTGCCAAAAGTTTGTTTCGGATCACTTAAGTGCCACTTTTATAAAAAAAAAAAAACGATCATTTAAGTGCCAAATCCGATTTGAATTGACGGAAACCTGACGTGGCAATATTTTATTAATTTCTTGGTCCTACGTGGCTCGCCGGCGTGCTCAGTCAGCATATAACTCATAAACGACGTCGTCTAAAAGTTGTAAATAGTGATCGTTTGAGTGTCAAATTTTGTTTAAAGTGATCACTTCAGTGCTGGTTATTGTTAAAAAAACAATCACTTCAGTGCCAGTTAAATTGTGCGACATCGTTTTAGATGTCCATGTGGACTGAATTTTTTTAAAAAAAATGTCAAGTCATATTAAAAAATTTAATTATAAATGCCGCGTAATCAATTTGGCCAAAATTAGCACTTAAGTGATCGTTTTTTCTCCGATTTGGCACTAAAGTGATCATTTTTTCTCCGATTTGGCACTTAAGTGATCCAAAAAAAACTTTTGGCACTAAAATGAGTGCCGTACACAACTTTTGACACTTTTAATGTTCTTTTCCCCACATTTGATATTAAACTACAAAATCCGTTAACTATCATGTTATTTCACGACAATTGGTATTGGAGTTAAAGTTATGATTTCTAGAATTGATTTAGGGCTTTTGCATGGTCATTGTCTAGAATACTGTATTTATAAATATGTCTGGAGCAAGAGGTGAGATTGAGAAGCTCATTAGAAGGAACAATTTTGGGTTCTGGAGTATTAAGATGTGTGCCGTGTTAGCAATCCAAAGTTTGGTGAAGCCACTGGACGGCGAGGATAAGTTGCTGGAAGCGATGAAAGAGACTGATAAGATAGAGTTGATGGAAAAGTAGAAGAGAATAATCCCTTTGAATGTGTCGGATGAGGTGTTGATTGAAGTGGTTGAAGAGAAGGATGTGGCAACAGCATGGGCAAAATTTGAGTCACTTTATATTATGAAAGGTTTGACTAGTCACTTGCTTATGCTAAAAAAGATTTTCCAATTTCGGGTGGCTAAAGGCAAATCAATCAAAGCCCATTTGGATGAGTTTAACAAATTCGCGATGGACTTGAAGAACAACAATGAAGCTTTTTCCAAAGAGAAACAAGGAATGATGTTATTGGCATCTCTACCAAAACTTCACTAATACCCTTCTAAGCAGCACACTACGATTTCCTTGAAAGAAATAAAGTCCACCTTCTTTCTATGAAATGGCAAAAAAAGTTGTGAAAAAGATGATTTGGCGCATGATATGATGCAAGGTTTGGTTATCCGAGGTAAAGAAAAACATAGAGAGTCTAAAAGTAGCATATGGAAGAGTCATACTATATAGAGGTCCAATGTTCGGAATGGTCGAAAGAGATTGTCTGAAGTATAAGAGTAAATGAGTTACGATGGAGTCTGCAGGTGATAGTAATGTTGTTACTAAAACAGATGAGAGTTCCAATGATCTAACAATCTATATATTTCTCTTAAGCCTGCTCTTCCTTCAGATTTAATTTCCCTATTAACAGGTGATAAAATAGGGGTTCTTCATCGTAGAATTAATTTGCTTCTTAATATTTTCAATTATTTGGCTTCAGCGCCGTCATTTACCAAAAACAAAAACTTACAAATGCTATAAATTTTTTACTTCTTAATATTTTAACTTATTGGGCTTGAGCTCCGTCATTTTACTTTAAAACAAAAATTACAAATACTAGAATTGCAATTAAAGTTTAGCGTGCGATTGTTTGAGGAAAGTGTTTTTCGGGAATTTGCTTTCCAAACTTTCACCCATTTGGTATGCCGAAAATGATTAGTTAACCGAAAATACTTTCCGGTCAAGAAAAATATTCATGTATAAAATTAGGAAAGTGAATTCTCTAATCTAAAAAGTTGAAAATACTTTCAGGAATTGCTTATCTTGAATTTGTTAATATTTTATTTTTTCCTTTCCTTTTTCTTTTTCTTATCTTTCTTTTTTTATTTTTTATTTTATTTCTTTTTTAACTTTTTCTTTTCTTTTTTCTTTTTTTTTTCTTTTTCCTTCTTCCTCCCTCTACCGGTTGCCGGCCATGCGACGGCTGGCCTCAGGCGAGGCCGAGGCTCACTAGGATCACTAGATCCTAGTGAGCCTCGGCAACCAGGTCGAGCTCGCCCGAGGCCAGCCAAGTCGGCCCTCGCCGAGGCTTGGCGACTGGTGGAGGAAGGAAGAAGGAAAAAGAAAAAGAATGAAAAGAAAAAAATTAAACTTAAAATATTATTTAAAAATTCAATTCTTTTTTCGTAAGATAAAGTCATGAAATTGAAATCGTTTTCCAAATGAGATCCAAACACCAGGAAACTTTTTTAATCAAATATCACAAAATAAAGGAAAATTAAATATTTTCCTGGAAAATGAATTCCAGAAAAATATTTTCCAGAAACATTATGTTTTTTTGTGAAACAAACACACCTTTAGACTTTCCCGTTTAAGCCTCTCTATTCAGATCTCTCAAGGTCCCATCTTGTGTGTCAAATTGCCAATCTTCACACGTCAATCTTAGGTCTAATCCAACTTAGCGAAGCAGAG